TTGCCGGTCCTAGCCCGGGTAAAGGAGCAGGGTTGGAATTGTGACATTTAAAAAAAAACAATAATTGCTAAAAGAAATTTAATTTGTAGCTCTAAATAAACTCTAAATGCATTTAGGACGTTTTTTACTCACTTTATGTCTCTTCCACGACGTTATTTCTCTCTCCAACAACATAGGTTACCATTAGATTAGCATGACCAATTATGCAAATTAGGCGATGACGTCATTTAGCGACTTCTAGCGACTTTTAGGACAGCCAATAGCGATTTTCCTTACTGAGAATCAACTTTTACGCTGAGATTTGTGATCGAACTCTTTAAATGAGAAGTCAAAGCAGCAAGATCAACATCTGGAGCGTCAGAAAAACGATGGCCGATTTCTTTCTTTGTCACTGACAGAAAGGAGAGTTTATCTGAAAGGAGGCTGTATGTGGCCCGCCATGTGAAATGAGTTTGACACCCTGAACTAAACTCAGGGCAGCAGGAAAAGCAGGTGACGTAAGCTGTCCATCCTTTGTTTTCTAACCCTGAGTGTCCCTCGTTCTTTAATCAGCGCCTACCTACAAGCAAGTGGTGAGATTGAGGCTGGAGAAAAACAGTCTGGATCTGAATGACGATGATGTGATGGATGCCATGCTGAAACAGGTAACTGGTCACCTCCAGCGTTATTGTGAAACAAACCTTAAGCTGCTTTAACTTTCATATACCTAATAACAACAAACTTATGCAGCAGCAAAAAAGAGTGAATAGCAAATATTAGTGAATAATTTTGTCTGTCATATTCTGCAAATCACATTTTTGTGTGTCCCAGCTCAAACAGACGCTGAAGGACCAGGGAGTCGCTGGAGATCTCGCACTGAGCTGGAGGAAGCAGCCAGAAGGAGAAGTCTTCAACAAGGATGAAGAAGGAAACAAGGAAAGGAAACCATCTGTATAAGACAAGCTTTACCAATTTTGGTTATGAAACATTTCTTTCTGCTTTGTCCTTTTAAAAAAGATTATTCTTTAGTTCTTCTCTAATTTGTGTAAACTCTACTTTCTTATTTAAAATGAAACGGTCACTGCTAGGGTGGAGTGCCCACTCCGGGTCGGGGATGAGTTCCTGCCCCAAGTGGAGGAGTTCAAGTATCTCGGGGTCTTGTTCGCGAGTGATGGGAGAAGGGAGCCGGAGATCGACAGACGGATTGGGGCTGCAGCTGCAGTAATGCGGACGCTGCACCGGTCCGTCGTGGTGAAGAGGGAGCTGAGTGTAAAAGCGAAGTTCTCAATTTACCGGTCGATCTACGTCCCTACCCTCACCTATGGCCACGAGCTGTGGGTAGTGACCGAAAGAACGAGATCGCGGATACAAGCGGCAGAAATGAGCTTCCTCCGAAGGGTGGCTGGCCTCTCCCTTAGAGATAGGGTGAGAAGTTCGGCCATCCGGGAGGGGCTCAGAGTAGAGCCGCTGCTGCTCCACATCAAAAGGAGCCAGCTGAGGTGGTTCGGGCATCTGACAAGGATGCCCCCTGGGCGCCTCCTGGGTGAGGTGTTCCAGGCATGTCCCACCAGGATGAGGCCCCGGGGCAGACCCAGGACACGCTGGAGAGATTATATCTCTCGGCTGGCCTGGGAACGCCTTGGTGTTCCCCCGGATAAGCTTGAGGAGGTGGCTGGGGAGAGGGAGGTCTGGGCCTCTTTGCTTAGGCTGCTGCCCCCGCGACCCGGCCTCGGATAAAGCGGATGAAGATGGATGGATGGACGGTCACTGCTAAATAAAGAATAAGCAGGACTTTGAGCAACATGTTTTTGAGGTGTTGGTGAAAGAAGCCTGGACTTCTGTTTCTGTGAATATAAAAAAGAACATTAAGATTTTATATGAAATAATAATAATAATAAAACGAATACAGAACCTTGAACCTTGAACTCCCGTATATTTCTATAACGAACGCTGTAATGAGCTGATCTGATCGTAGTTGCTGATGCAGCTGTACTAGACCTCAGTTCTGCCTCTGACACAGTCACATCAGTCTGGGTGTGAGAGGAACGAACGACGACAGTCCACCGCCAGCCGGATTGCCAGGCACTCTTTCTCCACTGTGCTGTATTTCCTCTCCTGCCCTGTCAGTTTCCAGCTGGTGTACAGGATCAGGTGGCGATCCCCCGTACCTGCTGGGACCAAACGGCACCCAGCCCTCTGTTTAAGTTAAGAAGCTTTGCAGCGTGGGCACAGAGCACATGGTCCATGAGGCGCTGGGAACAAGCCAAACGAAAGTTTGACAAACAGGTCCAAACCTCACGCTGTTTTTTCCTTGGAATTTGCAGACAAGGGAATCTAGCTTGCAGTAGTTGACACAGAAGCATATAGACCTACCTTTCTTCACTACAAGAACTATAAGAACTATTTTCAGCATTTCAGCCAGTTCTCTCTGGAAGATTTGGCTTTTATGCTCAGGTAACCTTGGCATCTGTGGCCCCAGCTCATCTCTCTCCTTCACCAGGACACTAGACCAGAGAAGTGGTTTTGGCCTCTCTCCATGCTTTCAGGAGATGAAGGTGATATATCTGTGTGGCTCCACCCCTGTCTGTATGTTGCCCACTCACCATGTGACCACAAAGGGTCTTTTCCACTTGGTGACTAACTTTGAGCTTGAAGAAGGCAGTAATACAAGTACTTTATCTCCTGGTGAAATTTGCCACTCTGTTGCAGAGGCCCTGCTGACATTTCTGGGCCTGGAGCACATTTTTCAGTGACAACCTTCCCAATTGTGTGCAGCTTTGTCTAAGGTCCAGGATGTACTGAATCTCATTTTTTACTGGCCCAGGATCTGCCATTTTTCTGGGACACCCTTCCACAAACAGTGTCTGGTCCTCTGCTGTCATCCAACAACCCCAGAACCGCCGGCAGCGGTTTTCCTGGGAAAGGCCCAAGTGATCCAAAATGTCCCATCAGATGTCTCCAAAGGTCCCCGGCGAGGCTGGCGTCAAGCCCATTCTGCCGTGGGACACTGCCACGCTCTGAAATGGCTTGGGTGGTCTCCAGGAATAACTGTGGGTTGTCGCCCACCCCCATCCGGTGCGTCGTCACTGCCAGCAGAGGAGGGGGCGGTGGCACGGTGACCCCAACCAGCACCTGCGTCTGGTGCTCGGCCTGGTCCTGAAGTCTGTTCAGCTGCTGCCTCTGCCACTGCTTGCTCCCTGTGTATGGCCGCCAGCATCTACACAAGCAATTGAACCAGCTGTGCAGGCTATGGGTCTGACGTGACCACCACGAAGCCAGCAGAGCCATAAACCACACCTCTGCCACGATCTCGTACCCTTGTAATTAGACTGATAGATTTAACAGTCCTCTTTGGTTTTCTTTATTCTAGTAGATTGCAAAACGTGTTTATTGAGAGATCACTGAGACTTTGCTCTTTTCCTTTAATGGTTTTGATGAATTTTAGTTCCTGTGTTTTGTTTTATGTCTGTTAGTTTTTAGTTTCATCTGTTTCTGAGGCTGTTCCTCACTCACTCTCATGTTTGTGTTAGTATCTCAGTTCTCCAGTTTTCTACTCCGACATGTTAGCATTTACGTCCGTATTAGTTCACTTGTGTATTTCCTGTTTTATTTTGAAAGTTAGTTTCCTTTTATGCCTCACATAAGTTTTATTTCTTCCTTTTTGCTTAATTGATTGTATTCACCTGTGTCTCGCTTTTAGTCAGCCTCTCAGTGTATAAACAGTCTGGTCCTGTTTGCTGTGATGTCTGTGTCTGGAGCTTTTGCACTTTTGATATTGTAAAACCTGTTAAAAGTTGTCTTTCCTTGGTCACTTGTGTTTATTGTATCATGTATTGTTTACCTCTCAGTCATTAGTTGGTTCCAGAACCCGAGCTGTGCATATAGGAGACTCTGATCATGTGTAAGTAAAATCTTTCAACCACACACTAGCTCAGGATCCTTCAGTCAGATGTAGCGGGAAAAATCAGATCCAAAATCCAGATTTGGGAGACAAAGTTAATAAAACTAAAATCCAACAACAGGCAGGAAACAATGTGCATAAAGTAAGGGGAAAACTACCACAAACTGAGGCTGTTAATACACTGAAATGATCAGGGAAGGGAAAACAGGCGGGGAAATCAAACACAGCAGAAAATACAAGCAAAACTAAACAGTCTTGTTACACGAGACGAGACGAGAGGGTAACAAAGCAAAACAGGAAGTAACAGCAGGTCTAACAAAGAAATACAGACTTAAGAGACAAATAGAGGAAAGACAGGAGCGCAGGAAATCTGAAACTAGGTAATAATTATAATATAACTTACAAACAAAAAAATAAACTAAAATGTTGAACTTGGACTGAAAGCTTGATCATGACGCTAGAGAGAAATTCCATGTTTCTATCGCCAAATATAGCAGCATGGGATCAGAGTACCAGGATCTCCATTATATTGGGTTATTTATAAATATATATGTATTTATATTATATTTTAGATTAAGGTGTAGTGTTCAAACGGGATTGGACTGTGTTCTCTGTCCAGCTTTTATTTTAACAGCAACTTTAACATTCGAAACGAAGCTGTGCAAAATGTACTTTCATGCTAAATAACGTCCATATTACAGGACATCAAAGTGCACTTTCATTTTTGAACATGTGCGTTATGAAGGCTAAAAAGGGTCTGGTGGAGTCACACACACACACACACACACACACACACACACACACACACACACACACACACACACACACACACAGTCGATGCTGTGGGCTTTCTGAGACAGATGGGGATGAGAGAAAAAGCACCGTGTGAAGAAGAGGGAGTGAAACAAGGACAGACCAGCAAAATACAGAGAACGAGAGAAAGAGAGAGGAGCAGAGGGGAGAGAAAAACGTTGAATGGATGCTTCAGCTGACACTTCCTTCGACCAATCAGAGCAAATGTTTCCCTCCTCCTGCATCCAGCCACTGTGATTGGCCAGCAGGAGCCGAGCTGCAGAGAGAGAGAAGAACACAGAGAGAAAGGGAAGAAGCAGTCAGATGAAGACAGCTCTGTTCTTTACATGTACCGCTCTCTCTCTCTTTCATTCATTCTCCTCTGTCTCGCTCGTCCCGCTTTGTGCTGCTCCTGCTGCAGTTTGCTCGCCCATGATTATTTCTCATTCCTGAGGAGAGAGGGGTTTAATGCGATGGACCTGCTTCCCACCGACTGCTGCTGCTGCTGTTTACACCGCAGCATCATGGGAGCTGTAGTTTCCTCAGCAGCACAGGAGGACAGCTGATTAGCCAGGGATTGTGGGTTTTCAGAGTTTGGAGATGTGAGCTGGTGGGCGGACGAGGCTCAACAAACTCTCTCTCTCTCTCTCTTTCTTTCTATTCTCTCGCTGTCTTTCGTTCTCATGCTTTTGAACCCTCTTCTGCCCTTTTCCTTCCTCTCCTCTGCAGTTTCTTTCATCTGATCTCTGCATCTTATTCCTTTTCTTTTCCTGTCATACTCACCATTTTCTGCTCTCTGCTCCTCCTAACTCTGACCTGTCCGAGGGCAAAGGCAGAATGGGTTGCCGTCTCACTCGGACCAAGGTGAGTGAGCTTCTGCAGGTGTGTTTTGGGTCTGAGAGAGAGAGAGTGATAAACAAAGAGGGGGGTGAGAAAGAGAGGAGAACGAGGAGGAGGAGGAGGGTGGGTAAATGAGATGTGATGGCTGCTGGGATGACCTGCTCTCTGTTATATCACTGTGGAGATGTAGACACACACCTTTACTGTATGCACACACACACACTCCTGCTCACACGCACATGTACACAAATCCCTAACCCAGATATTACGAATGAACCCAGACAATAGCTGAGAGAGAAGCTCTGATGACTGAAGGCTAAAGGCTGTTATCTGACTGTGTGTGTGTGTGTGTGTGTGTGTGTGTGTGTGTGTGTGTGTGTGTGTGTGTGTGTGTGTGTGTGTGTGTGTGTGTGTGTGTGTGTGTGTTTCTGTAAAGGATGAGGAGGCAGAAAGAAAAGCAGTGAGTGAGCTGCACACACACATCCAGGATTCATAAAGTATTCACATCCCTTCACTTTACACTCACATCTTTTTCAATGAGTCTCAGTCAGTGTTTCTTGCTTCTTGCAATTCTATTATTATTATTAATATTATGTAAAAATCAAACACTCCTGTTTGCCGTTTAAAAAGTATTCTAAAACTAATTTAGTCTTTTGTAGAAGCTTCTCTAGCAGCAGTGGTAGTTTCCAGTATTTTGGGTAAGAAGTGTATCTTATTCTCCTCGCAGAACCTCAGAACCTTAGTATGAAAGATGATTTCTGTGTCTAAAAACTGAGGCTACTGTAGATGTGCCTTGTAGTCTCTCTGATGGTCAGCAGGAGGTGAAGCCCGTGGCTGTAAAAACACTTCTCTGAAGATCTCCAAAAGTTGATTCTGTTCATCTGGACGTAGCGTTTTGTGGGAGAAACGTTTCGTCACTCACCCAGGTGACTTCTTCAGTCTCAGCTGTCTGCAGGTTTCCCCAGTCTTATAAACAGTACATTTGCATAATGACTGAAACAGCCCACTGAAGGACCAACGGGCTGGGAGGTTTGACCTCCCAGCCCGTTGGTCCTTCAGTTCCTTCAGAAACGTTTCTCCCACAAAACGCTACGTCCAATGAACAGAATCAACTTTTGGAGATTTACTTTCCTGGATGGTTGAGATGCATCAAGACACTTCTCTGAAGACTTTATTCTTTAATCGCCAGGTTTAAGTCTTTGTAAATTCGGGACCACTGTGGAATCAAAAGTTTAATAAATCAGGGTAATGTCATTGGCCAAGCTTAACCTTTAACTTAACACTAAGTTTGACAGCAGGACTGTTAACTATGGCTACGTAAACCTTTAAAATGCTGCCTGTGCTGGGTGCACTGAGGCTCTGGGTTTAAAGTCTGGACTTTACCTGTGACGCTGCAGCTGAAGGCACTCCAGTGTTGTCTGGTTGGTTTACTCCAGGTCTCTGTGGTACTGAAAGGTGAACCCACTCAGGTCTCTGTGTTTGTGCTGCTGAGATGCACCCCTATAGCATGATGATGCCTCCACCGTGCTTAGCTGCACCAGTGGGTTCACTGAGTGATGATCAGTGCCTGGGAGTTTGTGTCTCATCAAATCAACAAATCTCTTTGCACTTTGTCCTTTAAATGCAGTTTGACAAACTCCAAGCAGGCTGTCACGAGTGTTTTACCCACAGTGGCTCCAGTCTCACTGCTGTGCTGAAGCAAAGGCCTGATTTGCAGAGATCAGCTGAGGTCACGTCCAGCAGGTTATCTCATCTCTGCAGAGAACGTCTCAGTGCTGTGTGTGTCCTGAAATGAAGCATGCTTTGTTCTTTTCATTCCTATAAATAAGTTATATTTACACATGCAATGCTATGAATGTGTGCTTCACTTAAAGCCATTATGGTGGTGTTTACATGAGAACTTGTTCATTATTAATTGGAGGTTTGTAAAACCAGGGAGAAACAAGTGTAACCTTTTCAGAGTTGTTAGTGCGCCTGTAGACTGTTTGGTGGTGTTTTCATTGTTGTTACTTAATAACTTGATTAACAAAATTAATTTGTGGTCTTGTATTTGTCAGCAGCGCGTTCAGGCAGAGAAGCTGTGGTTGGAAATGTGCTGGATTAACTTCAAACAACCTCATCAGGCACTTCATGCATGGGTCAAATACAGCTTCAGAGAGCTGCTGGTCTGATGTCTGCTGAAGATGAAGACCTGACACTCCGAGGCTAATCTTTGATTTGATCTGCGAGCCCAGAAAAACGTTTGAGCTGGTTGCACTTCCAGAATCTAGACGTGAGCTGAAGTGCTGTGAATGTTTCACTAAGAGATCTTCTCTTAATCCTGACTATGTAAGAATGTGCACGAGACACCCAGACTACTCAGTTCAGACGGTTATTTTTCACAAGCCTGAGGGGCCATAAAGAGCAAGTAATTAAAACCCAATCTCATTTGCATGAGATCAAATCTGAGCAAATGCTCCTGCGTAAAAGGAGCCATAAAGCCTACACAGGAGAAAGGGAACCGGGGGACTGTGGCTCAGGTCTCAAGCTTCGTTTTGCTTGGTTTTTTACTCGCTGTTTGATGAAGTTTAAGAAGACGTTCACGGTCTTTACCTGTAGAAAAACTATGTTATGCTGATGCTGACGGGTCTTGAGCAACTGTCCATATGTGAGACGTTGGGAGTGAGTACAGATGCATCCCCATTTTAGCAGCACGAAACTAGAAATGAAGATTAAGGAGGGTTAGAAAAGGAATCCAAGGAACAGGCCTGCACTAAATCACCCAATCATGATCGTGATTGCGGGCCATTATTTACAAGATAAAGATCATGTTGCATCAAATATGAAGTGAAAGTAGAAGTTTAGACCATGCATTCATCATCTGTCGATCTACAAATACACCTGCGCACCTAAAGCATCTGTTTCATTATCACACAGCGTTTGGTTTTGAAATCTTTAGTATTTTTTGCTGGTTATTTCGAACAGTCTGTAACTGTAGATTTGGATTTTCGCTGTTTTCTTCCTCCCATCTGCGTAACTTTGTGCTGAACATTGGGGGGTTAAGATCTCTGTCTAAATAAATAAATAAATGTGGGTAAATTCCCAGATGATTAAACATGCAACTATTGTGCTGGTAATAACTGAAATGAGCAAAGAAAATCAACAGCCTATTTATGCAAGATAATTCATCATTATACTGGTTGGATCTGATTATTGGGGGGTCATAACCCCCCTAACCCTCCTGGAAATAAGGCCCCTGCTTCCCCCATGTGACAAAAAAATCAAGTTTGTCATCTGACTTACTGAAGCAGTGAGGGATGAGTCATCCAGCGTTTCTGTTCCGGTCTCCATATTTCCATCAGAATTCTGCACAAAACCTAAACCATCATTCCAGACAAATGGAGGATTTATTTTATTTCATTTTGCAGAAAGATAAATATTTAATCTTATGTTAATTAACCCCATAATTTCCCTAATTAGTTTTGAGCTCGTTGGCAGCGATCTGAATATAGGTCAGCATGTTTTTCCTTCTTTATGTGCCTCTAATAAACTGACTTCACAGATATGGAGCATCTTATCTGACTCTACAAAGATCTTTTTCTTTTCTTAACCCAAAACCTGCCAACCGCGACTTCCGTTGGTGACTACTGTATAAGAGGGGGAAAAGAAAATCACTCTCTTAAAAGCTTTTAACACTCTATTATCCACATAAAGCCTGAATAGCACAAGGAAACATTAAGAAGAGCGCTCCAGCTCTACAGACCAGCCGTCACTGGGAGTTTTTCTTGGAAAGTGTTCCCGTTTGTCTTGGTGACTGAGCGCTCCTCCTTCCTGCTCGCTGCCTGTTGTAGCAAGAAGCCACATCTCAGTAATTGTTGTCAGCGAGTTAGCCGTGTTTTCATTTAGCACCACATCTCCTGGCTGAACGCCTCAATGATCAAAAGGCTCGCCTTCATGCGGAGCTGAACAATCTGCAGCATGAATGTTTTCTGGCTCCTGTTCATCTCAGAACTCTGGAACATACGATTATCTGGGAACGCATGTCGGAGAGGGTTTTCTCCTGGATGCGCTGACGCTGTGGTGCATGTAAACAAACACCTTATCAGATGATGCGCAGCGCAGCGCAGCACACACACACACACACACACACACACACACACACACACACACACACACACACACACACACACAGGTAAAACAGGCAGAGACAAACAGAGGAGGGAGGTCATAACTCAAGCTGATGCCTGCTGAGGTGACCTGATCAGTGCACTTCATGAACACATGAGACATGAAATGCTGCGTGTTTACAGACAGTCACTACACATATCAGTCTACACGAGACTTTAAATAGAGACCAGAGAGGAAAACACGAGTTGTTGTAATAAGGAGACCGGTGCCCGCTTGGATTGTAAGAATCAAACCTCCAGTAAGGGGAATTAAAAGTAATCTGTTACATTACAGTTCAATTCAATTCATTTGTATTTATATGGCATCAAGTCACAACAATAGTCAGCTCAATGTGCTTCATACTGATCCTACAGAGACAGCAATCAGACGAGCCTGTGTGAGCAGGCACGTGGCGACAGTGGGAAGGAAAAACTCCCTTTTAACAGGAAGAAACCTCTGACAGAACCAGGCTCAGGGAGGGGCGGGGCCATCTGCTGCAACCGGTTGGGGTGAGAGGAAGTAGACAAGACAAAAGACACACTGTGGAAGAGAGACAGAGATTAATAGCAACCAATGATTGAATGCAGAGAGGTCTATAAACACATAGTGAGTGAAGGATGTAGTGACAGATATGTGAGTTTTTTAATACATTCTTTAAAGTTTTATTTTAACCAGCCTCTAAACTTTGTTGAACACTCCAAAGAACAACTCTTTGAATGAACTTAAAATAATTGTGGGAAGGATTTCCACTTTAAGAAATAGCTTTCCAATAGTATTAAGTGCTTTTGTTGGACTAACGTGATTGCACGGTTTGCATCAACTCAATCAACTGCAGTGAATAAGCTCATCATTAATTAAGTTGGAATAACAGAATTAAA